TAGTAAATCTTTATTTTAGAAATCACATCAATTACAAAGCATTCACTCATTGATAGTCTGATTATTGGTTACACCGAAAGACTTTCGGAGTTCTATAGAAGTTTTAATAGAAGAGTCACTCAATACCAGAGTTATATCGATGACAACGACTAGGAATTTAATGGTCAAATAACCCAGACCTATGAATATATCGTATATAATATTCCTTATATCATTCAAATGGCTTTCAAACAGTAATGTCCAGTATTGTACAGTATTTTTGCCAAAATATTTGTTAAGCTGTGTTTTTTCTCCATCTTTTTTGCTTAACGCCCGATCTTCTAAGGTATCCGTTTGAGTGAGACTTTTATTAGTTGTAAGTATTATATATGGGTTTGTGTTGTTGGTCTCAATAGTATTCAATGTATTAGCTTTAGTTGGAGCCAAATCTCTTTGAGATGTTTCTATAAAAGTCGTTAATTTAGAGTTATTTTTGTTTATAGCCTTACATTAACTCAAATCAATACCATTTATAATATAGGAATTTGAGATTTTAATCAATAAATTATTTATAATCAACAAAACTAAGGATAATATGAAAATCGATTTATTGTGTCTGTAAATCATTGTGGATGTAAAAAAGTTAACAAAATTTAAGCATTTAAATCATTTTTATTTTTAGAGTAATCTCGTGAACTAATAGTTATTAATATAATGTTAATCATATATAAAATTAATTGAAAATTATTGAAAACAATGTAATAATATTTTATCCCCAAAAATTATATTGCAAAACACTTATGATAGCACTAACTTTATACGGTATTATTATCCAGAATACAATTAAATATTTTAGTTTATGCCAGTTAAAGTCAAATAAGTAGAAAATGATTTTAATTAAAAAATAAACACAAATCTGAGCTCGTTTAATTAAATTAATATTTTACAATAAGTTGTAATTAAACTTATATTATTTTAAAATATAAATTCAAAATAAGCTAAAATTTTAACATTGTTATTAACATTTTAAAAAATATAGACTTACTTGTATAGTAAAATAACCTCATGATCTCAAATACATATTTTGTAATTAATTAGAAAATATGGATAAAAAATTATTCCTAATTAATAATTAAATACTTAATTGCTTAACCTTCAGGTTAACGATTTTCTCAATCTTCTTAATTAAATACAATCAACTTACTTTAATCATTAAAAATGCTCAAGTTTTATATACAATGTTATAAACTTCAATCTATTGGAAGTGCTCCACAGAGACATCACTTGTTTGAGAATATAATCATAAAAAAGTTTTTAAAACTTTAGAATCTTTTGACTTTTGAGAAAATGGATATAAATATATTATAATATTATTATATAAAATTAAATATTCTTTTGTAGAATATGGTACCATGTATATAATATTAATTATAACTTATCCACAATTACACAATGTATAATTTTAATTAAAAAATAACTTTGTATCATTATTTATGACTAATTACACAATTTAGGAGTTTTATATCAGACTTGTACCGGACAAGTACTACAGTAATACAATATATAAAATTTATAATTTTATAATTTATTTCATAAATAGTTTTACATTAAAAATTAGAATATAAATTGAAAGCGGTATATTATATAATTCTAAGTTTAGTAATAGACTATTACTAATAGTAATAAACCTATTACGGTTACCATAATATTACTTATATTAATTTGAAAAAATCATTACTTATTACCGTATATATCCAGGATTTGGTTTGTGTCATGAAAAGTCAGTATTTACATGTTCATGACATAAGAATTTTTGCAATTTTAAGCCACAGACAAATGATTTTGATGTAAATAATTAATGTGACATTTGGTATTACTGTACACATCCATTAGTACCGTATAAATCACTCAGTTATCAATAATTCACTCATTTGTTTGCACAACAATTCAATTGAATCAGTCATTACTGTAATCTCTTTTTAATCATTCGTGTATTCAATAGAAAATTATCAAAAAATATCCGAATGTATAAAATTAAGTGAATTTATATTACAGACTACTGTAGTCTAAATTTAATAATCATAAATTAACTGGACAAATTATAAAGTATACGCTCCTAACTATTAATACGATGTTATAATGAAAGTTAAATTAAATGATATTTTAATTTTTAAAGTCATATCAACTCTAATCACGCTATGGTCAGCTTGATAGTTAATAAATTATAATTATATAACTATTCAACAGTAATGTAAGTTATATCCTTATTTATATATACAGTATACATACTGTATTAATATGATATAACATTAATGTCATGATATAGACAATGGGGTGCAATATAACTGTAATAGTAATACAAATGGTGTCAATACTTGTAAAGAACACACGTTTTTATAAATTAATTAAAAGTGTTTATGAAAGCAATTGACATAAACAATAGATACAGTATATCTATCAACTCAATGCCACAAATAGTATGATTGCTAGACCTATTCAAACACATAAACCGTGGTATCAAATGATTTCATAAATTTGAGACTAAATAATAACAGAGATTATGGGAAAACAAAAACTATAAAAAACATTTCAGACATTCATAGCTCTGTATCAGGAGTTATGGCAAACAAAGCATATTAGAAATGAAGTGACATTTGGGACCAACATCTCAATGAAAGCAATCATTTGCTAAACCAAACCAAACACTCAGTACTCGTAACCAAACGTATCCTCAGTCCACACAAACATATGGATCAATGCTTTGAAGCCTTTATTGACTGGAAATAGAGATAAAGTTAGTATTGATATTGAAATGAATGCACAAATGCTTTATATATTGAGTCCATTTGACGGCTTATATGAGACACGAGTCCCCATCTAAAGCTCATCCCTGTCCTCCCATCCCATACATTGCATACATATAGTGCCGTAAGTGACCGATAATTATAGGAAAAATATCTACAAATATTGACAACCATTTGATTGGTTAATGAAATGCTAAGTTCATATAAACAGCGATAAGTGAGTGGTGTTTGACAATGCATTCAATAATAATGACAATTATAGTCGTAATCATTACAACATTTGTCAATACGATTGCATTCACTGCTTATCTCAATGTAAACATCCATTCAATTCATACACCAAATGGTCAACACAATCACAACGAATAAACACTTCAATCACTGCATACAACACATCGACACCCATTGTGTCGACTATACCCTCAACACCAACACTGCCTCCAATGTCCACTCATATCATTGAAACACTCATTCAGTTGTCTATCATTTGCATATAAACCTCGTTATAATCAATACAATTGCAGTCATAGAGCACTCAAAGTGTCAAATGTGTGGTCAATAGTACTGATCAGTGAATGGCATTCGAGAGCAAGTGATGCGACATTGAGTGCGCATACGTCTAGTGAACGCCTCTCTCACGTGCTTTCGAATACAAACACAACAAATGACGAAACGTTTGACACATTGACGTCACCACAGGTTAGGGACCCTCTCGTCATTGCATTCACGCATTCACTCCAATACGTGTCCACTAAATGGTCGCAAATCATTGTTTTGAGTGAAATGTTTGCCTCAAATGTGCATCAATTGTGTGTTTAATTGAACGGATATCTCACGAAAGGTATGTATATTTGTACGACAATAAGTCGAGTGATATATTGCACCCAATATTTGGTCCCTTTGTTGACGTGCATTGGGAGGACTCATAAGGTTTTGTTTATTAGCAGTCCTTTCGCTGATTGGTTCACATAAACAGTCACTTCTATATCCAAAGGGCTATACTTTGCCATCACTTCCACTGCAATCACTATTTAAGACTTTTATAACAAAATGTCTGTTTCTTACGTCTTAACCAATATTTTCCAATCAATTTGACTCTCATTTCTATTCATTTCGTATCTATTATTATAATTGTCAAGTATTTCACAAAATTGGTATCATTTTTCATATTCAATTCATATGTAAATGAATTATTTGTATGTTTTGTTGATAAAGTGCAAAGTGAGACATATTTGGGCCCTTTCTATATGGTATTCACGTAAATGATAAACAATTTTTATAGTGTTGCCCACTGTTTGCCATTTGTTTTGCGGACAAAACTTATATTTTGTAAGTATTTAATACATTGTGTTTAATACCCATACAAAATCATACTATAGTTAGAGTGCAATACCTATGAAAAACCATTTATTAATGTATTAAGGATTTGACAGTTTCAAAGGTCTAGTATTACAGTTTCCGTCAATTATTTAGATTTAGTTTACGCTATAATACCATTGAATACGAATGTAATTGTATTTCTGAATGTTTTGAACATATATTGAGAATACGAGTAAAAGTGAAATAATTGATTAAATAGATAATCGGAAATAAATAGCTCATGAAATGGTGTTTGTGTACAGTATGTGATACAGTGTGAGTCATAGTAATAGTGTCCTCAATAGTGTGGGACGGGTGGCAACCGCACTGGTATTGCACTATAGATATATGTCATGTGATTAGTTGTGGGGAAAAAGCAAAACATTGCACTTATTGACGAAAACATCATTCAGTATATGATATGTAATGTAAATGTAAGCCAACTCTCAATTCACTGCAATTATTGTTAAAACTCTTTTAGACAAAGAATTTTGTCATTTGTTGTCATTGTTTCACACATTTGTCTATTCATTGGACTCTGTTTTGTGGTAATTATCTGTTTATAAGTGCAAATATTGTATGAGATATCGAAAAGTCAATCAATTGGTGACTATAGTTGTTGTGTCAATACGATCGCCACTAATCAGACACTAATTAGTGATTTAGTAGTGATTTAGTAGTGATTCACTCATTCACTGTGTGTTTGTCTAGCAATTGATGTATGAATACAAACAATAGTGGTATTTGTGAGTCGATTGCGAGTATTTGAACATAAATTGAGTGCTAATAGTATTGAAGGAAATATTTGACTTCAATTCAAGGACTGATTCACGAATACATACAACACTTGTATTACTTGTGTTGATATATACAGACAAATATATATATTATTCCTGTTTTCCATAATTTCATCACTTTTTCCTTTCGTTCAATTGATTTGCAATCAATTAATAATATTTTGACGCAAATCTGCTTCAAATGAATCGTAAGTAATAAATGTTTGTATATTAATAGCTATGAGTGAATAAAGGGTGCAATACATGAATTGATTGTAAATATAAGTCAAATATAATTGAGATATGAATGAATCGATGCATAACTCGTAACCATTTTCGCTGCAAATGCTGTAACACTGGTGTATATATTAGTGATAATTTCATGAATGTATTGTTTAAGCGATATTTGGGTTAAAGACTTGAAAATTTCGTTAAACAGCAAACTAGTCAATGGTTTGACTCATTCTTACGGTTATAGTGAGAGTGATTTGAAAGGCAAAGAAGTGGCAAATAATGGCCAAAGAGTTAATACTGTGTTAATAGTACTGTAGGTTTTGGCCCACATTAGCAACATATGCTCCCAATTCATGTGATATGTGTTACACTGAAAACGGGTCCAAACCTAATGTTGTTTTACTTTTCATTCACTCTTCCCTTCATTTGATTTCATTTTTTGTTCCCATTCTTCCGTATATCCAATCATTCAAACATTCATTCAGGTATTGAATCATTTTTGCCACTCAAACACCACGAGTGACACTATTTTGTCGTCAAAACTCATTCAATTTACCGTCAATTTTGTTCAATTTTTATGAACTTATATTTGTTGTCATGTTTTAATTTTTACTGTTTTTCTAAAGTCAACTAAACAGTTATCATTGCTTTTTCATATCACTCATATCCAGTTGAGTCAGTCCTCTGTACTGTTATTTGTAATGCTTTTTAGTGCTGTTATTCTTATCTCAATCTCGCCATCAAATCATATGACTTTCCAAAGCGTTTCGTAAAAACTTTTCCTTGTGTTCAATGATTTCAGTGTTTACTTCATTTCAAGTGCCTCTATAGAGTCTACACTCTATTCAATTCACTTATTATTACATTCACTATTCACTCGTGAGTTGTACAGTACTGTCACAGGACAGGCAAATATTTTGTGACCCAATCTATTGTGACAAGTCTACACATTTGCAGCCAAATTAGCCCATGTTTTGAATGCTACACTCAACTCTCGTTCTCTACCATTATCTGTCTTATTTTTGAGGTAAAAATAGATTTGAATTTTATTTATAAAGTCATTCAGTCTTTTCTTGTCAATTGGCAGACATTTAAATGGGTTTTAAATGAAAATGTTTATAAACATTGCTATCGATACCTTATTTTGACAATTGATTGCTATATAGTACACAGCTTTTGGTGGTATAGCTCTCGCATGCATAGCAACAACATATACAAAGTTACGTCAAATTTGGGTCAATGCCTTTCAATGCCTTTCCATTGCATTCTCCTATTCCTCAGCAGTAGAAGACATGCCACCAATTAATTGATTCATTTTCCAGTCTCTCTATAATGAATGACTTCATACATTTCAATTCATAATTAGACATCTCTTCAGACATTTCTTTTATTCTTTGTGTTTATGCGATAATAGTCTCTAAACATAAAAAACCACTTCAGACTGTCTGTCAAAGCATTACCTGTACTCTCAATATGTTTTCTTATGAATATTAATATTCTCGCATTATTTGCTACATTTTATTATAAAATTCTATTTTTTATTTGTTATATTTTTAATTCTTGACATTTTTTCATATAATACATACAAAAGTAACATGATAAAACATAATACTGTATATTATATTTTTCATGAATATACACCAGAATATCGTATAACTAATGGTTTGCAATACTTGTCTCGTTTATAACAGGATTTGAACCAATACTGTGAAAAAGGATTTAAGAATATCTTTGCATCATATGATTGTGCTCTCAATTGTCAACAGTATAGCGATTCAGTGGAGATATCAGTGCTATAATTGTAGAGATCACACAACACAGTGTGGGTGTCGTGTCGTTTAGACTGTCTCTCTTTTGCCAATACAGAAGTGGAGCACATATTTGCCAAAGAAGTTCCCTTCACTCACACATCATCTGCCGGACCACCGCTCAAGACTCACATTAATGGTGCAATCGCTGGAGGAATGGTAGAGCTCGACAACATAGACACCACCTCAGCATCACAACCAATCGGTAAACAATTTTTGTTATTTTAACTTTTATTACAATATATTCACTTTTATTGTCTCTAATTTCTGTTCAGCTATTCGCTTATATAATATTCATTAGCATAGTATAAAACTCATGTTTTGTTCACTGGATTACATAATAATGATGTTTTTATCATTTCCATTGCCTAACTCTCACATGAGATTTCAATAACTTTCTCAACTAATGTCACATTTTCTAAACTTATGCTTTGATTTCTTTTTACTTTCAGTTACGCAATACAGTGTATGAATTGAATGAAATTCATTTTGTTATTAAATTTAATGCCATCATTTGAGTCTAATATCTGGTCAACAATTGACAGACCAAAATTGAATGAATTTCATTTTACTTTAAATTATATGATAATTCATGATCTAGTTTTGCAAATGTTTCTAAACATGAAAATACCTTTAATTCTAATTAATTTATAGCAAAACATATGTTTTGAATACTTATAAACAGATTTATTGTATACAATACTGTATTACTTGAATATCTCATATACGGATAGTAATTTGCTTACTGTATGTATTTCATAAGCGTTTAGAAGTTAAACACTTATCGATTGTATGCAAAACATTGAAATCCGATTTTTCTAGAAATCATCACAAACTATTGAGTTATAAAAACATATGACGGATAGATAATTGTAAAGTTATGTGAGAATGTGTTCAATTATATGGCTTTTGTGTCTTAGGTCTCCATTTCATACCAACTCTTCTCTATCTGTTGTATATCTCGTGATTCAATGATTAGGCAATTATTCTTTGATTTGACGTCACATTCATTTTTATTTTAATTTTTGCAAATTTTTTGATAAATACTTATTGTTTGAAATTGTCTCAATTCTCTCATTGATTGTTTTAGTTTTTATTAATTAACTATTAAAATGTATATCAATTAATGTATAAAGAGAAGTGTAAATAAGAGAATAAAAGTTTATTATTAAATACAACCCTATGATAGGCTATGAAACAAGTTTTGTGTTAATTATTTGATTATATGGAGTCGAAAGTGGCTAACCTTCGAAACATTCAGTGCGAATTCAGGTGAAAACCGCTGTTTGTTAGTAAGGATTGGTTGGGAATCAGTTATAACATGATTGTTAGCTATGTTTGTCATTGACATATAACTAAATTTAGTAGAAATTCTGTTTCATTGAACAAAAACTCATTTCTGTTTCATTATAATTGAACGGATAGTCAGTTCTTTAGTGGTAGTGGTAATGATACGAGTGTTGACATTGAAGGTCAATATTAAAGTATAAAATGTGTTTCAATGCAAAAATCACTTGACAACTAGTCTACTACTGGATTGCATCACCACTTAGTTCCACACAGAAGTTGCCATAACTTTAATTGTTCTTTGTTTTCGATATAATATTATCTCTAATTTTACTCATAGATTATAAATACGCTAGACTTGAATAAACTAATTGTTTGAATGATTTTGAAAACAGAAACACAAGTAGTGGTGATCCCGACAAACGGTGGAACAGATGATGTTCCACAACAAGAAGTGGAAGCAATCGCTAATACATTCTTATCGAAACACTTATCACAACAACAAAAACTAATGGCTTTGCACCAGAATAACGATAATATTCCCAAATATGTTGACTCAAACTCTCAACAAAATAGTTATAACACAAGGAATAGCATTAATATATCCAACGATCGCTTTTGGTTCGACCAAAACACTGAACACTCGCGAAATCAGAGCAAACAGTCGGTCAACATATCGGCCCTCAAACACGACCACCCGTTGATCGGATCGGCCGTCGACAACATGGCCTCCAAAAGCAGTGGTCTCTGTGGCAACGAAAGCATTTTAGTGGCATCTCTGCCGCCAACAGATCCACAAATGCTCTCACAAACGGGTCAATGGTTAGATGAAAATGATTACATATGCGAACGGAAAGCCATATGTTTGCCGTTTGGGTACTGTATTGATGACGAAAAGAGTCAATTCCACTCTCAAATACCACTCAATATGAATGACTTCAAGACCTCTAATGACAACGACCCGGACTGGATGTGCGACAATATGGATATCAATTACAACGGAGTCACTGGTTATCCTTACTGTGCGGACAAATCGTTTAATATGGAGAATGTGTTTCAAGTGGACAAAGCGGACATCAAGACTGGGCCCACATTGGCTCAGCTGAACGCCAGTGATGTTTGGGATGCATTAGATTTGGATGATTTGCTCGCCAGCGCTCAAATGGATGTGAAACACATGTCCAACAATAGGTCACGACTCGCGTCTAATAATAACTTACGACTAAATACTAACTTGAGTCTCAATTCAATGGATTACGAATACGACTCAAAACTTCAGGAAAACATCGATTATTTGACTTCTTTACTGAACAGTTCCAAAAACGGTGCAACACTTCCGCAATCGTCGTCTCAAACGGTGTCCGCAGACGTCAAACCTCTTCCGACTTCTAGTCTCAACACTATTGTTATCACAACACATACAGTGCCGCAGGAAATGGTCCAAAACTCACAAATATCTGCACAACAGGACCTTAAGGTTAAGAGCAGCACTACTCTGAATACGATGCCCACCACAACGGTGTTGAGTAGTCTATTGGGCGCCCAAACCATCAAACAGAAGGCGTCTAATGATAAGTCACAGCCTATGCCTCAGACCTCCTCCTCATCGGCACTGATCTCTCAAAACAAAATGGTTTCGAATATAATCGAAGAAAACAAAGTGTTATCTCGAGTCAGGAATAATTCAATGAGTACTGAATACAGCGCCTCATCTCATGACGAGGGCTTTGCCTCTCAGCCCGAGGACACCGACAATGAGGACGAAGACATGGACTCCGACGACGAGTCCTTTTATGGCGATTACGACGCCTCGGATCTGTTGGGCGCCTCCACCTCAGACGACGCCAACAATAAGTGGTCACTAAATATGGGCCGTTCAAGGAAAGGCGGCGAACGGCGATACTTCTGGCAGTACAACGTTCAGAGCAAAGGGCCCAAAGGGACGCGCATTGCGTCAGTCGAGGAGAACAGCGATCCCCATGTCTTCAAAGAGATCAGTGATCCCGTCTTCAGCCCCGACTGTCAGATAGAAGGCGTGAAACACTCGGGAAAAGCCCGACGCGGAGACGGCAACGACTTGACGCCCAATCCCAAGAAGTTACTGATGATTGGGTTAGAGCTGAAGAAGTTGAGCAAAATAATCAACGACTTGACGCCTGTGGCCGAAGTGCCCGTCAGTTCCAGAGGTAAGTCTCGTAAGGAGAAGAATAAGTTGGCGTCGCGTGCGTGTCGGCTCAAGAAGAAGGCTCAACACGAGGCCAACAAAATTAAACTCTTCGGCCTTCAGATGGAGCACAAGAAGATAATGTGTGTCTTGAGTGAAGTCAAGAAAATGGTCCGCAATTACAGTCAAAACGCGAGTGCCAGCGAAATGTTGGCCACACAGGCGGTCGAGCGACTCCTCAAACAGAAGGGACCGTTAGTATCAGTTGCCGGAAAGACCAGTGATTTCGTGAATCACATTCTCGATAACGTGTCCGCCGGGGTCTCCAACGGCGGTTTGGATAAGATTTAAGCTGATTATCATTTCTGCGATTCTTTTTGCTTATTATAATGTCATTGAATTTGTTTCTTTAATATCATTCTTATTTTCAAACAATGTATTCATTAATAACTGTTAAACCAATGAAAGCTGAGATTCATTGATTAGATGTTCATGAAAACGACAACTCATTTACGAAAAGTGTATAATTAATGCAATGCTTCCTTTGCTAACAGTAATCAACGACTTGACGCCTGTGGCCGAAGTGCCCGTCAGTTCCAGAGGTAAGTCTCGTAAGGAGAAGAATAAGTTGGCGTCGCGTGCGTGTCGGCTCAAGAAGAAGGCTCAACACGAGGCCAACAAAATCAAACTCTTCGGCCTTCAGATGGAGCACAAGAAGATTATGTGTGTCTTGAGTGACGTCAAGAAAATGGTCCGCAATTACAGTCAAAACGCGAGTACCAGCGAAATGTTGGCCACACAGGCGGTCGAGCGACTCCTCAAACAGAAGGGACCGTTAGTATCAGTTGCCGGAAAGACCAGTGAATTCGTGAATCACATTCTCGATAACGTGTCCGCCGGGGTCTCCAACGGCGGTTTGGATAAGATTTAAGCTGATTATCATTTCTGCGATTCTTTTTCATTATTATAATGTCATTCAATTTGTTTCTTTAATATCATTAGTTTAAAACAATGTATTCATTAATAACTGTTAAACCAATGAAAGCTGAGATTCATTGATTAGATGTTCATGAAAACGACAACTCATTTACGAAAAGTGTATAATTAATGCAATGCTTCCTTTGCTAACAGTAAGGCTAAGACACAACTGAATTAATAGTAGAATCGGTAGAAAAGACACAGAATTCTAAACACATTGTTGTGAAAAGCGTTGAATTGACGCAAACGTGCAAATTGTCCGCAACTGACTGTGATATGATAGCTATGAGTATGAGATTGTGATGATATTTACAGTAATGTTATTTTATGACACATTCAACCGAAACAACTAAAACAAGTTCTATTGAAAAGACATGTAATACTAATACTAAATGATAAATCGAAATATATATCTATCTATCCTTCACATAGAGTACAAATACATTCATACGTATAAAATCTGATATAAGTTTACTGTAAATGAGTTTTAAATGAACACAAACAATCATAATTTTGCTAAATTAACATCAAAAGTCAATAGATTTATGTTTTATTATTTAGTTTTAAAATCTTAACCTTATTTGTTTTATTGGCTCATATATTTAATTCTATAATAAGGGCTTCTCATAAATCTATAACTATATAAAAACCCCATATTTTTCTTATGAAAAATCATTGCAATTGTATTCTTATAAATATAGTGAAAAATATTTATGTAATCATTATTTTATTGTTAAATAATGTAATTATAAGATTGTAAATACGATTACAAGTGAATAATGCGAATGATTCGGATACAAATTAATATACTGTTCATATAAATTATATATAAGATTATTTTGAAATCCATTGTAAATAACTTTTCGGAGTTTTATGAATTATGTTATGAAAGTTATATATATATAAATAATTGACACTAAAATTCAGATCATATTTGAAATGTTATGTTTTTTAAATATCTTTATCAGTGTATTGCGGAAACATATGAATGATTTTCTCCCAAAAAACCTATTTCTTTATTACTGCGATTAAAATCAAGTTTAGGGAGTTTGAGGCAAAAGTAAGGCAAACAAAATCAGTTTACTGTTGGTTATTAATACCGTAATAACTTATTATTTTGAAAATGAATGTACTTTCGGTTTTTTAAATTATATTTTATGTTAATTTTGACAAATCGTTATTTCCTGCCATAACTGTGTTATTCACTTTGAAAGACATTGAAAACAATTCTGTAAAAATATTTTTTCGTAAAAATATATACCCATAAGAATCTAAATTTCATTTACAATATACATGTACAACACATGTTTGTTACTGTATTACGTATACTCTGTTTAATTATTTCAATCATATATTCTTATAATTGTTGTAACATTTATTTCGACAGCTTTTCATATTTTAAACTTTATTCAAAATTATATTTCAAAACATTTGTGTTTTTTATAGAAATATCAAAATAAATCTAAAGCGAAATGATTGCAGACTTTGTGTCCAAACGAATCTATGCTTTCAATTGTTATATAATCTGTACTTAAAATTGTTAGTAAATATAACAAAATATGTATACTTTTATTACGGCTATAAAAATATAATTTATTAAAAATAATAAAATCTGTATTATTATTATTACAATAAATATGAGTTTGAGTTAAAAGTTTGAACGAAAACTAATAGTATCTCCAAAAGAGTCGTTTTGTCATAACATATAAAACACATCCAAAGAAGAACATAAGGGCTAATACGATGAGCACTTTGTCGGTCACCTCCCGGCGCCCGTATTTGGTCAACAACTTCCTCGAGTGCACAATCAGATTAGCCATCGATTTGAACTCTTCGCCCGTTTCCGTGACAGTGGCTGACGAGCCGATCAGGGTTTGCAAAGTGTGCTCACTTTGGGTCACCTGAGAGGCCAACAGACGGCTCACTGTCTTCAGGTTATCCGTAATGGCCGTCGATTTGGTGGCCAACACCTCACTGTTAACTGCCGACCCATTCCTCTGCCTAAGAGCTGTCTGTTGAGAATCAGTGCCAAACAGCTGTTCCCTTGTCTTCGTAGTGATGGACTTCTGACTGGAAGCGATCGCTTTCCTCAGGGCTATAGAGTTTGCCTCCAATTGGTTGCGGAAGCCATCGATTTCTACGTCCAACGACTTCTTCGTCGATGCATTTGACACCTCTTTCGATGTATTCACCAAATCCTAAAGCAATGCATTTGTTATTCATCTAATAAATCAATCAATCAATCAAATCATGGGTACATCGATAGACTTCTTGTAGACACGGATCCGTTGTGAGACACATGAGATCAAGTAATTTAAGTCGCCATCAGTTGTATTGCAGTCTAATATGTCCTGAAATGAAGACAATTAATGGATATAATAAGTGATGGGTTTGTGTCTCACTTTGATGAGTGTCTTGAGTGTCAAATCACTGGTAATGATATGATCTTTCAATTGACTGATCACTGCATTTGAGTCCATATCTCAGGCTAACTCACCACTGAATCCATGAAATAAACAGTCATTGATGTCATCATGTATTATGTGACACAACGCGTGCGCACTAAGCACTCATCAAACCCTATGTACAGTCAAATACATTCATTAATACCACTATAAATGCATTGCTATAACAAACCATAAACTAAGCAATTATTCAATTTAACTCATCATAAACACAAAAATTGATTTATTGTTAAATTTTTAATTAAATTAAATATAATTTTCAACAAATTGTGACAAACAAGAGGTATAGCGAGGAGTGACTGTATGTATCATTTGCCGCCTTTTAAGTGGCTATCAGTGGAGACATGCGTTCAATGTTTTCATTGGTTTCGCAGGTATTGAACGGATCGACCGTTTAATCATTGGATTCATTGTTCACTCATTAAGACATCCATTAATCCAATGAATCACTAAATGAACGCTTCATTCAAATGTAAGTTAATGTCAATTGAATGTCCATTTGGTTTATATTTGATGACAAACGCTGTGATAATGTGTTAATTGGTGCCCAAATGTGACTGTCGTTTCATTTGATTGTTTAGCACTTAAGACAATAGTTTGGACGCCACTCCAGACAATGCTTTCAATTTAAACCACTTTTTAATTGATTTACAAATTATTTACTCGTTTTTGTGGTGCATATCATTCACACCATTGTATACATGATGTCGATGTCTACCACACATTGACATTGCTTTTAGTTGTAGCAAACCTTACCATTTGTATGAATTTTATGGTAGTGTTAGTCTGTATTTGATTTGTTTGTTGGACTCGATTCATGTGATAATGAGTGAAGACATGGATGACTGGAACCCCATGAGTGACGCCTTCAATAGCGTCTGGCATAACAGTTACAGTAGTGGACAGACAGGCGCTAACCTACCCGTCCACTTGTTGCCTCCCTTTGGGTCTGTGTTTGCCATGCATTCGCTAATTAGTGCTAATTTAATGCCCATAAAGTTGTCTCCCTTTCACTCGTTAGCCGTACTATTGATACGACTGTCCCTTAATTATATTGCCTTTGCATTGCATTAGTGGTCAGTTGTCACGGCCTAAGACTCGTGAGAACGTCAAGCTATACATCGATGGCTTTCCTTCAGATGTAACTGAAGTGAGTATCACTTTCACCAACATTTTCATGGCTTTCGTGTGACCGCAGATTCACACGTTTATTGCATTGCTTTATAGCCAGAGTTCACATGAATTTCACTGAAAGCCTGTGTTTAATGAAATGTGAGACCATTTGTGCCGCGAGTTATAACTGGGCTCACAGTCAATGTTCACACTTTCAACTCAACTCGCATTCTAGTGCTATTTAAACATAAGTTTAGTCTCGTTTTACTCATTTGATAAGCAATTCAGTCAATGCTTGCTTTTTGGTCTCATTTTCTGCTTTTTAACAATTTATTCAAATAATTTCAAATCAATTATAGAGTGGTTTAAAGGGTTATCTCCAACGCATCGGTTGTAAGCCATCGGCGGTTAAGAGAGTGAAGACTCGTTTGGGACGATATTATAGGTATAGTTAGTTGTCGTACAGAATATTGTCTATTAAACGATAGTAACCATGAATTTGGGATCAGTTTTGTAGACTTCAATAGTTATAAGGAGGCGCTGAACGCCATTCAATTGATTAGAAGTCAATCACTATTCAAGCTTTCGGTGGGATTCGCGACGACTGAAGCGGACAAACAACAGAAGGATTTCTATATCGATGTGAGTCTCTGTTGAATGCATTCATTTGATGCCATATTCACTGTATTTGTATTGAAGAAAGAAAAGGAGTATCTGTTGCGAAGACATTTGCAAATGAAGCCCAAACTAGACATCGGTGACTGTGCGGCCATTAATGCCAATAATCGCCACTCGAGTCACTCTAACGGTCACCGCATTGAGTCCGACAATGAAAGTCATGAGTCCTCGCATTTGGAGGTATTGTCTCCTTTGGCTAAAAGTGATAAACTGTTGAAAGTATTGAACACTTCTGGAGACGAGTGTTCGTTCTGTAATGGAGGCGATACCATAGAGCACCTGCACTTCATTCTTGATGAGCAGCAGGTGATTGATCCCAAACAACTTCCGGCACTCATTGCAGCGAACACTGAGTGCCAGAAGTGCGGTCAGAAGAGTGCAAACATAAAGTTGTGCTCTCAATGCAAGACTACTTATTATTGTGGCATCAAATGCCAGTCAAGTGATTGGGTTAATCACAAAAAGATCTGCAGTGCGGGCGCTGTGGACAACACTCCGAGAGTGGTTTCGTCGACAAACGCGTCGCTGCCGTCCGTCCCGACCAGAGAGAGGACTCGAAGCCCTCCGCCCACCAATCACTCGGTGTCTAAACCCAAGAGCCCTATAAAGGAGTCCAACAATTGTGATGATTCTCTGATGATAGTCGAGGGCTCACCGAAAGTCACTTTCAATAAGTCTTCGGTGAGTGATGTGACCGATGGGCTGTCGAAGCGATTGAATTTTGATGAGTCATCCAATGGTTCGATGAAGTCATTCCTCGAATACAAGCACAACAACACTGACATAGATCTGGTCATCAATGATGCGGTCATTGGCGACAATGAGCGCCATTTGGCCACAATCTTTGACCCCAGTATTGGACGCATTATTCACTCGCTGCCAGATGACTATATCAATGAACTGCCGGTTGTGCCCAAAGCCGAGGATTTAATAGTTGCCAAATATCCTGACGGCCAGTACTTCCGGGCGTATGTCCTCGAAGTGCATTCAAAGAGTGCTAAAGTTTTCCTAATCGATGACTCAATTATCTCTGACGTGGACTTCTCACGCATTTATCAGATCAAAGCCAAATACCTGAAGGCGCCCTCATTTGGTGTCCTTCTGGTGCCCGACTCGAGAGAAGCCACAGATTTGCTCAAAAAGACGGCTAAACTGGATAAGTCTATCCTTAGGGGCGCTTATGTCAAACGGGACGACAAGTTCTTTGCCCAATGCGACGACCATTTGTATGAAGTGTTGCCTTTCAATGCGTTCATTGATTCCATCAAACAGTCACTCAA